GTAAAATGAATGAGACAATCACGAAGGAGAGGAATTAAAGCTTTTTCTCCAGGAAAGTAGCATGTAAAATGAATGAGACAGTCCAAGGAGAGGAATTAAAGAAGGAAAGAGCATGTAAAATGAATGAGACAGTCACGAAGGAGAGGGAATTAAACCCTTTCCAGGAAAAGAGCATGTAAAATGAATGAGACAGTCACGAAGGAGAGGAATTAAAGCCTTTCTCCAGGAAAGAGCATGTAAAATGAATGAGACAGTCGAAGGAGAGGAATTAAAGCTTTCTCCAGGAAAGAGCATGTAAAATGAATGAGACAGTCACGAAGGAGAGGAATTAAAGCCTTTCTCCAGGAAAGAGCATGTAAATGAATGAGACAGTCACAGAAGGAGAGAATTAAAATGCTTTTCTCCAGGAAAGAGCATGTAAAATGAATGAGACAGTCACGAAGGAGAGGAATTTTCCAGGAAAGAGCATTTGAGACAGTCCGAAGGAAATTAAAAGCCTTTCTCAGGAAAGAGCATGTAAAATGAATGAGACAGTCACGAAGGAGAGGAATTAAAGCTTTTCTCCAGGAAAGAGCATGTAAAATGAATGAGACAGTCACGAAGGAGAGGAATTAAAGCTTTTCCAGGAAAGAGCATGTAAAAATGAATGAGACAGTCACGAAGGAGAGGAATTAAAGCTTTTCTCCAGGAAAGAGCATGTAAAATGAATGAGACAGTCACGAAGGAGAGGAATTAAAAGCTTTCCCAGGAAAGAGCATGTAAAATGAATGAGACAGTCACGAAGGAGAGGAATTCTTTTTCTCCAGGAAAGAGCATGTAAAATGAATGAGACAGTCACGAAGGAGAGGAATTAAAGCTCTTCTCCAGGAAAGAGCATGTAAAATGAATGAGACAGTCACGAAGGAGAGGAATTAAAGCTTTTCTCCAAAAAGAGTATGTAAAATGAATAGTCACGAAGGAGAGGAATTAAAGCTTTTCTCCAGGAAAGAGCATGTAAAATGAATGAGACAGTCACGAAGGAGAGGAATTAAAGCCTTTCTCAGGAAAGAGCATGTAAAATGAATGAGACAGTCACGAAGAGAGGAATTAAAGCTTTTCTCCAGGAAAGAGCATGTAAAATGAATGAGACAGTCACGAAGGAAAGGAATTAAACTTTTCTCCAGGGAAAGAGCATGTAAAAATGAAATGAGACAGTCACGAAGGAGAGGAATTAAAGCCTTTCTCCAGGAAAGAGCATGTAAAATGAATGAGACAGTCACGAAGGAGAGGAATTAAAGCCTTTCTCCAGGAAAGAGCATGTAAAATGAATGAGACAGTCACGAAGGAGAGGAATTAAAGGGAAAGAGCATGTAAATTGAACAGCCTTTTTCTCCAGGAAAGAGCATGTAAAATGAAATGAGACAGTCACGAAGGAGAGGAATTAAAGCCTTTCTCCAGGAAAGAGCATGTAAAATGAATGAGACAGTCACGAAGGAGAGAGGAATTAAAGGAAAGAGCATGTAAAAATGAATGAGACAGTCACGAAGGAGAGGAATTAAAAGCTTTCCAGGAAAGAGCATGTAAAATGAATGAGACAGTCACGAAGGAGAGGAATTAATTAGGAAAGAGCATGTAAAATTTTCTCCGAAGGAGAGGAATTAAAGAGAAAGAGCATGTAAAATGAATGAGACAGTCACGAAGGAGAGAATTAAAGCTTTTCTCAGGAAAGAGCAAAAATGAATGAGACATGTAAAAGAGCAAATAAATGAATGAGACAGTCACGAAGGAGAGGAATTAAAAGAAAGAGCATGTAAAATGAATGAGACAGTCACGAAGGAAAGGAATTCAAAGCTTTCTCCTGAAAGAGCATGTAAAATGAATGAGACAGTCACGAAGGAGAGGAATTAAAGCTTTTCTCCAGGAAAGAGCATGTAAAATGAATGAGACAGTCAAAACGAAAGGACAAACAAATGAGAGACAGTAAAGGAGAGGACTTTTCTCCAGGAAAGAGCATGTAAAATGAATGAGACAGTCACGAAGGAGAGGAATTAAAGCTTTTCTCCAGGAAAGAGCATGTAAAATGAATGAGACAGTCACGAAGGAGGAATTAAAAGCTTTTCTCCAGGAAAGAGTGTAAAATGAATGAGACAGTCACGAAGGAGAGGAATTAAAGCTTTTCTCCAGGAAAGAGCATGTAAAATGAATGAGACAGTCACGAAGGAGAGGAATTAAAAGCTTTCTCCAGGAAAGAGCATTTAAAATGAATGAGACAGTCACGAAGGAGAGGAATTAAAGCTTTTCTCCAGGAAAGAGCATGTAAAATGAATGAGACAGTGAAGACAGTCACGAAGGAGAGGAATTAAAGCCTTTTCTCCAGGAAAGAGCATGTAAAATGAATGAGACAGTCACGAAGGAGAGGAATTAAAAGCCTTTCTCCAGGAAAGAGCATGTAAAATGAATGAGACAGTCACGAAGGAGGAATTAAAGCTTTCTCCAGGAAAGAGCATTTAAATGAATGAGACAGTCACGAAGGAGAGGAATTAAAGCCTTTCTCCAGGAAAGATGTAAAAATGAATGAGACAGTCACGAAGGAGAGGAATTAAAGCCCTTCTCCAGGAAAGAGCATGTAAAATGAATGGAGACAGTCACGAAGGAGAGGAATTAAAGCCTTTTTCAGGAAGAGCATGTAAATGAATGAGAAGGAGGAGAGAATTAAAGCCTTTCCAGGAAAGAGCATGTAAAATGAATGAGACAGTCACGAAGGAGAGGAATTAAAGCTTTTCTCCAGGACAGAGCATGTAAAATAAATGAGACTGTCACGAAGGAGAGGAATTCAAGCTTTTCTCCAGGAAAGAGCATGTAAAATGAATGAGACAGTCACGAAGGAGAGGAAATTAAAGCCTTTCTCCAGGAAAGAGCATGTAAAATGAATGAGACAGTCACGAAGGAGAGAATTAAAGCTTTTCTCCAAGGAAAGAGCATGTAAAATGAATGAGACAATCACGAAGGAGAGGAATTAAAGCTTTTCTCCAGGAAAGAGCATGTAAAATGAATGAGACAGTCACGAAGGAGAGGAATTAAAGCCTTTCTCCAGGAAAGAGCATGTAAAATGAATGAGACAGTCACGAAGGAGAGGAATTAAAGCTTTTCTCCAGGAAAGAGCATGTAAAATGAATGAGACAGTCACGAAGGAGAGGAATTAAAGCTTTTCTCCCAGGAAAGAGCATGTAAAATAAATGAGACAATCACGAAGGAGAGGAATTCAAGCTTTTCTCCAGGAAAGAAAGCATGTAAAATGAATGAGACAGTCACGAAGGAGAGGGAATTCAAGCCTTTATCCAGGAAAGAGCATGTAAAATAATAAGACAGTCACCAGAAAGGAGAGGAATTAAAGGAGAGGAATTCTCCAGGAAAGAGCATGTAAAATGAATGAGACAGTCACGAAGGAGAGGAATTAAAAGCTTTTCTCCAGGAAAGAGCATGTAAAATGAATGAGACAGTCACGAAGGAGAGGAATTAAAACTTTTCCAGGAAAGAGCATTTAAAATGAATGAGACAGTCACGAAGGAGAGGAATTAAAGCCTTTCTCAGGAAAGAGCATGTAAAATGAATGAGACAGTCACGAAGGAGAGGAATTAAGGAAAGAGCATGTAAAATGAAATTCACGAAGGAGAGGAATCCTCCAGGAAAGAGCATGTAAAATGAATGAGACAGTCACGAAGGAGAGGAATTAAAGCTTTTTTCCAGGAAAGAGCATGTAAAATGAATGAGACAGTCACGAATGAGAGAGAGGAATTAAAGCTTTTCTCAGGGAAGAGCATGTAAAATGAATGAGACAGTCACGAAGGAGAGGAATTAAAGCCTTTCTCCAAGAAAGAGCATGTAAAATGAATGAGACAGTCACGAAGGAGAGGAATTAAAGCTTTTTTCCAGGAAAGAGCATGTAAAATGAATGAGACAGTCACGAAGGAGAGGAATTAAAGCCTTTTTCCAGGAAAGAGCATTTAAAATGAATGAGACAGTCACGAAGGAGAGGAATTAAGCCTTTCTCCAGGAAAGAGCATGTAAAATGAATGAGACAGTCACGAAGGAGAGGAATTAAAGCTTTCTCCAGGAAAGAGCATGTAAAATGAATGAGACAGTCTGAGGAGAGGGGAATTAAAACCTTTTCCAGGAAAGAGCATGTAAAATGAATGAGACAGTCACGAAGGAGAGGAATTAAACCTTTCTCCAGGAAAGAGCATGTAAAAATGAATGAGACAGTCCGGGAAAGCAAAATGAGAGGGACGAATTAAAGGGAATTCTCCAGGAAAGAGCATGTAAAATGAATGAGACAGTCACGAAGGAGAGGAATTAAAGCTTTTCTCCAGGAAAGAGCATGTAAAATGAATGAGACAATCACGAAGGAGAGGAATTAAAGCCTTTCTCCAGGAAAGAGCATGTAAAATGAATGAGACAGTCACGAAGGAATGAGGGAATTAAAGCCTTTCTCCAGGAAAGAGCATGTAAAATGAATGAGACAGTCACGAATGAGAGGAATTAAAGCTTTTCTCCAGGAAAGAGCATGTAAAATGAATGAGACGGTCACGAAGGAGAGGAATTAAAACTTTCTCAGGAAAGAGCATGTAAAATGAATGAGACAGTCACGAATGAGGAAAATTAAACCCTTTCTCCAAGAAAAGAACATGTAAAATGAATGAGACAGTCACGAAGGAGGAATTAAACCTTTTCTCCAGGAAAAGTGCATTAAAATGAATGAGACAGTCACAGGAAAGGAATTAAAGCTTTCTCCGGGAAAAGCATGTAAAATGAATAGAGACAGTCACGAAGGAGAGGAATTAAAGCTTTTTCTCCAGGAAAAAGAAATAAAAATGAATGAGACGGTCAGTCAATGAAAGTGGAATTAAATCTTTCTCCAGAAAAGTGCATGTAAAATGAATGAGACAGTAACGAAGGAGAGGAATTAAAGCTTTCCAGGAAAGAGCATGTAAAATGAATGAGACAGTCACGAAGGAGAGGAATTAAAGCCTTTCTCCAGGGAAAGAGCATGTAAAATGAATGAGACAGTCACGAATGAGAGGAATTAAAGCTTTTTCTCCAGGAAAAGAGCATGTAAAATGAATGAGACAGTCACGGAGGAGAGGAATTAAAGCTTTCTCCAGGAAAAGAGCATGTAAAATGAATGAGACAGTCACGAAGGAGAGGAATTCAAGCTTACGAAGGAGAGAATTCTCCAGGAAAGAGTATGTAAAATGAATGAGACAGTCACGAAGGAGAGGAATTAAAGCCTCCAGGAAAGAGTATGTAAAATGAATGAGACAGTCACGAAGGAGAGGAATTAAAGCTTTTCTCCAGGAAAGAGCATGTAAAATGAATGAGACAGTCACGAAGGAGAGGAATTAAAAGCTTTTCTCCAGGAAAGAGCATGTAAAATGAATGAGACAGTCACGAAGGAGAGGGGAATTAAAGCTTTTCTCCAGGAAAGAGCATGTAAAATGAATGAGACAGTCACGAAGGAGAGGAATTAAAGCTTTCTCCAGGAAAGAGCATGTAAAATGAATGAGACAGTCACGAAGGAGAGAATTAAAAGGAAAGAGCATGTAAAATGAATGAGACAGTCACAAGGAAAGGAATTAAAGCCAGGAAAGAGTATGTAAATGAATGAGACAGTCACGAAGGAGAGGAATTAAAAGCCTTTCTCCAGGAAAGAGCATGTAAAATGAATGAGACAGTCTACGAAGTAGAGGAATTAAAAAGCCTTCTCCAGGAAAGAGCATGTAAAATGAATGAGACCGTCACGAAGGAGAGGGAATTAAAGCTTTTCTCAAGGAAAAGAGCATGTAAAATGAATGAGACAGTCACGAAGGAGAGGAATAAAGCTTTTCTCCAGGAAAGAGCATGTAAAATGAATGAGACAGTCACGAAGGAGAGGAATTAAAGCTTTTCTCCTAGAAGAGCATGTAAAATGAATGAGACAGTCACGGAGAGAGGAATTAAAGCTTTTCTCCAGGAAAGAGCATGTAAAATGATGATGAGACAGTCACGAAGGAGAGGAATTAAAGCCTTTCTCCAGGAAATTGCATGTAAAATGAGATGAGACAGTCACGAAAAAGGGAATTAAAGCCTTCTCCAGGAAAGAGCATGTAAAATGAATGAACAGTCACGAAGGAGGAATTAAAAGCCTTTCTCCAGGAAAAAGAGCATGTAAAAATGAGATGAGACAGTCACGGAAAGGAAAAAATGAATGGAATTAAAGGAAGTAATTAAACTTTTCTCAGGAAAGAGCATGTAAAATGAATGAGACAGTCACGAAGGAGAGGAATTAAACCTTTTTCTCCAGGAAATTGCATGTAAAAAATGAATGAGACAGTCACGAAGGAGAGGGAATTAAAGCCTTTTCTCCAGGAAAGAGCATGTAAAATGAATGAGACAGTCACGAAGGAGAGGAATTAAAGCCTTTCTCCAGGAAAGAGCATGTAAAATGAATGAGACAGTCACGAAGGAAAGAATTAAAGCCTTTCTCCAGGAAAGAGCCTGTAAAATGAATGAGACAGTCTGAAGGGAGAGGAATTAATGAGCCTTTCTCCAGGAAAGAGCATGTAAAATGAATGAGACAGTCACGAAGGAGAGGAATTAAAGCCTTTCTCCAGGAAAGAGCATGTAAAATGAATGAGACAGTCACGAAGGAGAGGAAAAGCTTTTCCAGGAAAGAGCATGTTGAATTCACGAAGGAAAAAAATCTAAACTTTAGGAAATGAAAATGAGAGACAGTCACGAAGGAGAGGAATTAAAAGCCTTTCTCCAGGAAAGAGCATGTAAAATGAATGAGACAGTCACGAAGGAAAGGAAAGAGCATGTAAAATGAATGAGACAGTCACGAAGGAGAGGAATTAAAGCCTTTCTCCAGAAAGAGCATGTAAAATGAATGAGACAGTCAAAAGGAGAGAATTAAAATTTTCTCAAGGAAAAGAGCATGTAAAATGAATGAGACAGTCACGGAGGAGAAAGGAATTAAAGCTTTTCTCCAGGAAAGAGCATGTAAAATGAATGAGACAGTCACGAAGGAAAGAATTAAAGCTTTTCTCCAGGAGAAAATGAATGCATGTAAAATAAAATGAATGAGACAGTCACGAAGGAGAGGAATTAAAGCTTTTCTCAGGAAAATGTAAAATGAATGAGACAGTCACGGAGGAGAGGAATTAAAGCTTTTTCTCAGGAAAAAGAGCATGTAAAATAAAATAAGGACGGTCACGAAGGAAAGGATTCTAGCTTTTCTCCAGGAAAAACATGTAAAAGAATGAGACAGTCACAGAAAGGAATTAAAAGAGGAAGAGCATGTAAAAGCAGGAAAGAGTAAAATGTAAAATGAATGAGACAGTCACGAAGGAGAGGGAATTAAAGCTTTTCTCCAGGAAAGAGCATGTAAAATGAATGAGACAGTCACGAAGGAGAGGAATTAAAGCTTTTCTCCAGGAAAGAGCATGTAAAATGAATGAGACAGTCACGAAGGAGGAGGAATTAAAAAGTGCATGTAAAATGAATGAGACAGTAACGAAGGAAAGGAATTTCCCAGGAAGCATGAAAATGAATGAGACATGAAAAGGAATTAAAGACAGTCACGAAGGAGAGGAATTAAAGCTTTTCTCCAGGCAAGAGCATGTAAAATGAATGAGACAGTCACGAAGGAGAGGAATTAAAACTTTTCTCCAGGAAAGAGCATTTAAAATGAATGAGACAGTCACGAAGGAGAGGAATTAAAGCCTTTCTCCAGGAAAGAGCATGTAAAATGAATGAGACAGTCACGAAGGAGAGGAATTAAAGCTTTTCTCCAGGAAAGAGCATGTAAAATGAATGAGACAGTCACGAAGGAGAGGAATTAAAAGCTTTTCTCCAGGAAAGAGCATGTAAAATGAAAACAGTCACGAATGAGAGGAATTAAAACTTTTCTCCAGGAAAGAGCATGTAAAATGAATGAGACAGTCACGAAGGAGAGAATTAAAGCTTTTCTCCAGGAAAGAGATGTAAATGAATGAAATGAATGAGAAAGAGCATGTAAAATGAATGAGACAGTCCGAAGGAGGGAATTAAAGGACTTTTGAGACTCCAGGAAGGAGCATGTAAAATGAATGAGAGACAGTCACGAAGGAGAGGAATTAAAGCTTTTCTCCAGGAAAGAGCATGTAAAATGAATGAGACAGTCACGAAGGAGAGGAATTCAAGCTTTTCTCCAGGAAAGAGCATGTAAAATGAATGAGACAGTCACGAAGGAGAGGAATTAAAGCCTTTCTCCAGGAAAGAGCATGTAAAATGAATGAGACAGTCACGAAGGAGAGGAATTAAAGCCTTTCTCCAGGAAAGAGCATGTAAAATGAATGAGACAGTCACGAAGGAGAGGAATTAAAGCCTTTCTCCAGGAAAGAGCATATAAAATGAAAAGAGTGAGAGACAGTCACGAAGGATAGGAATTAAAAGCTTTTCTCCAGGAAAGAGCATGTAAAAATGAATGAGACAGTCACGAAGGAGAGGAATTAAAGCTTTTCTCCAGGAAAGAGCATATCCGAAGGAGTGGAATTAAACTTTCTCCAGGAAAGAGCATGTAAAATGAATGAGACAGTCACGAAGGAGAGGGAATTAAAAGCTTTCTCCAGGAAAGAGCATGTAAAATGAATGAGACAGTCACGAAGGAAGGAATTAAAGCTTTTCTCCAGGAAAGAGCATGTAAAATGAATGAGACAGTCACGAAGGAAAGGGAATTAAAGCTTTTCTCCAGGAAAGAGCATGTAAAATGAATGAGACAGTCACGAAGGAGAGGAATTAAAGCCTTTCTCCAGGAAAAAATGAGCATATAAAATGAATGAGACAGTCACGAAGGAGAGGAATTAAAGCTTTTCTCAGGAAAGAACATGTAAAATGAATAAGACAGTCACAAGGAAAGGAAAAGCCTTTCTCCAGGAAAGAGCATGTAAAATATGAGACAGTCACGAAGGAGAGGAATTAAAGCTTTTCTCAAGAAAAGAGCATGTAAAATATGAGACAGTCACGAGGAGACAGGAAAGAGCATCAGTCACGAAGGAGAGGAATTAAAGCTTTTCTCAGGAAAGAGCATGTAAAATGAATGAGACAGTCACGAAGGAGAGGAATTAAAGCCTTTCTCCAGGAAAGAGCATAAAAAATGAATGAGACAGTCACGAAGGAGAGAGAATTAAAGCCTTTCTCAGGAAAGAGCATGTAAAATGAATGAGACAGTCACGAAAGAGAGAGAATTAAAGCTTTTCTCCAGGGAAAAGCATGTATAAAAATAGAAATCACGATGTAGAACAGTAGGAAAGACATGTCAAATGAATGAGACAGTCAAGAGAGAATTAGCTTTCTCCAGGAAAAGAGCATGTAAAATGAATGAGACAGTCACGAAGGAGAGGAAAAGCTTAAAGCCTTTCTCAGGAAAAGAAAAGTATGTAAAATGAATGAGACAGTCACGAAAGGAGAGAATTAAAAGCTTTTCTCCAGGAAAGAGCATGTAAAATAAATGAGACAGTCACGAAGGAGAATTAAAGCCTTTCTCCAGGAAAGACATGTAAAATATAAAAAGGAGAGGTCTTTTCTCAAAAGACAGGAAAAGAGCATTTAAAATATAAAATGAATAGAGACAGTCACGAAGGAGAGAATTAAAGCCTTTCTCCAGGAAGAGCATAAAAATGAATAAAAGTCACGAAGAGGAGAATTAAAGTTTCTCCAGGAAGAGCATGTAAAATAGATAAGACAGTCTCAGGGAATTAAAGCTTTTCTCCAGGAAAGAGCATGTAAAATAGATGAGACAGTCAAGGGTAAAATGAATGGAATTAAAGCTTTCTCAGGAAAGAGCATATAAAATGAATGAGACAATCACGGAGAAGGAATTAAAGCCTTTCTCGGAAAGAGTATATGTAAAATAAATAGCCAGTCACGAAGGAAAGGTAAAGCCTTTCTCAGGAAAGAGCATGTAAAATGAATGAGACTGTCACGAAGGAGAGAATTAAAGCTTTTCTCCAGGAAATTGCATATAAAATGAATGAGACAGTCACGAAGGAGAGAGGAATTAAAGCCTTTCTCCCAGGAAAAAGAGCATGTAAAATGAATGAGACAGTCACGAAGGAGAGGAATTAAAGCCTTTCTCCATGGAATAGCACAGTCAAAATTAAAAACCTTTCCCAGACATATAAAATGTCACACAGAAGGAGAGGAATTAAACCTTTCTCCAGGAAAAAACAAAATAGATAAAATCCTGAAGATAGAGACATGTAAAATGTCACAGAAGGAGAGAATTAAAAAACCCCTTTCTCAGGAAAGAGCATATAAAATGAATGAGACAGTCACGAAGGAGAGGAATTAAAGCTTTTCTCCAGGAAAGAGCATATAAAATGAATGAGACAGTCAAGGGAATGGAAATTAGCAGAGCATGTAAAATGAATGAGACAGTCAAAGAAAGGAATTAAAACTTTCTCCAGGAAGAGCATATAAAATGAATGAGACAGTCACGAAGGAGAGGAATTAAAGCTTTTCTCCAGGAAAGAGCATATAAAATGATATGAGACAGTCACGAAGGATAGAATTAAAGCTTTTC